GTATTCTCTATTTTGTGTGAATTTATCCTCATGATTCCCTGTACTTTTGTGTATTCATGCTTTACTTCCATTTTTTGAACATATTTACAACAGCTCATTCCAAGACTTCATCTATTATGCGTAATGCCTGAGCTTCTTCAGCCTCCCTATTATTTATTTATTTCAACATGTGAATTTGCCAGAGTTTCTTATTTCTTTGTTCATCTTATAATATGTTGCTATGCCTGGACAATTTAAGTGATATATAATGTGGCAACTTTAGAAATCAGACTCTCCTCTCCCTGTGGTTTGTTGTTGCTGATTGTTGTGTTCGTGTATTTGGTGATTGTTCTCTACTTTTTTTTTTTTTTTTGGTAGCTTGCATCATTTGTCATGTGAAGCCTGTGTTCTACTGGCCTCCTGGTCAGTTGGTGTCTTGGTGATTTCCTAAATACCTAGAACCTAAAAAGAAAGAAGAAGGAGGAGGAGGAGGAGGAGGGGAAATGAAAGGCGGAGATACACCCCCAATCTGCAAATTGATTGCCTGTGTCATGAGCTTCTCCAATCAACTCTGACTTAGTCTTTACTTCCTTCCTGTGTAGAGCCCAGAGGCCAATTAGAGGTGCAGGTTTAGGGTATTTTTATTTTCAGCCCTTGGCATGATCTTCTCAATTACCTAGTAGAAGAGGGAATTTCAAAAGCCCTCTTCTCCTCCATAGCTCCTTCCCTAACCTCTTCCTACCTAGGCCTTTTGGTTTCAGCTATTCTGTGATAATCTTACATTCTCATTTGTTCTTCAGCTGCTAGAACCCCAGTTCACCCTCATGTCATTGCATCCTGTCTAAAGCCATGGTTCCTTTGGCAGCCAGAGTTATTCATGGTGCTCTTCACCTTTTCCAATTTTCCTTATTCTCCAGTGTTAATAGGTGCCACATATGTCAGAACATAATCTTCCCATGCGTCTAGGTTAGTGCAGCACAAATTAGAATAGAAAAATAAACTCTGAGATTATTACGTAATAAGGCCAAGGGGACTAAAAGAAAAATGAAGTTTGGTTCAAGTTTGGTTCAATATGCATGATATGCTGAAATTAGAGAATCAGCATCCAAGGAACTAGACAGATGTCTACACATGTGTCTCTGGGCTGTTGTCCTGAGTGTACTGTCATGCCTATACTTCAGCATCATGGATTCAAAGACAAGGTCAGGCACTCAGTGGTAAGCAACCATTTGGATCTGACAGGATGACCCAATGCACAAGAGATTACAGTATAATTCAGAATATATGTCTGCAGGTTATGCTTTGCAAATAATCATATGTATTAGAAAAATATATTGTGTATCTATAATTCCAAGTCATCCACATCAAAATTTTCAATTATTCCATGGTGAACATCAATGAGAACAAAGAGCAATATAGAGAAATATGTTAAGATGCAGTGGACACACCACTTAAACTATCCCAAGTGTCCAGAATATAGGTATATGTTGTTGTTATATTCTTTCTTTGGGGACAACACTATATTCACACTGACAAAATGTTCTCCATTTGGTCTAATAAGATGTGAAATCCTATGCATACCTTTATTTTGTTTTACTTATTTATTTATTTTGTACCAGGGATTGAACTCAGGGGCACTGAGGCACATTCCCAGACTTTTTTTTTTTTTGCATTTTATTTAGACGCAGGGTCTCATTGAATTTCTTAATGCCTCACTTTTGCTGAAGCTGGCTTTGAATTTGCAAACCTCCTGCCTCAGCCTCCCGAGCCGCCTGGGATTTATTTTTATTTTTAAATAAACTATTTTTAAATAATTTATTTTTAAATTATTCTTTCATCAGATTTAATAATACCATTGGCCAAGCTACAGGATTCTTTTAGATCCTGCCAAGCCTGACTGAATATCTATCCACATCTACTTCTGAATTTGAATTGGGATAAATCTAATCTGCAAAGAGAACTGCTTCTGATGATTAATCTTATGAATTTTGTGACCTTTCACAGACATCTAAGCCACCTCTTTAAGGATCCTGATACTTAACCACACATCACTTAGTTGCCTTGAGTCTCTTTCTGAATCCACATTTCCTTAAATATCTACCAAGTCACCCAATTATATTGTACTTCATGGCTAGTTCTTGATGATATGACCATTTTATTATGCTCGTTAACCACCAAAGTGAATTTAAGATCATACACTGGGTCCTAACTCAAAGTCAAGGTATTTCCCCATGCCCTTTAGAAATCTACTGCATATAGTCACAGTAGATTATGTCCTTGGAAGGCATCAGGCACATATCAACAGACAAAAATGACCTGAGTGTTGGACTTGAAGGAATTCACTTTCTCGGGTAAATTACTCTGCCTGTACAAATCTGGTGAGTTTCTTTTGGACTTTTGACAATAATAGTGCATTGTTCCTAGATGGAACTTTGAGTCAATTTATTGAATTGTTTACACCTCTCTTGACTCTTTTTTTTTTTTAATCCCCAAGGGAAACTGCGATCTATACACAACTAGTGAGAAATATCATGGTATAGTAGGAAAAAGAGCATTAAAATCAATAAGATCCAGTGATATAAATATTGTATTGTCTTTCACTGATTGATCTTGTTCAAGTGAATTAGACCCTTTAAATCTTAGTTTCCTCACCTTTAAAATGGAGCCTAATAGCATCTCCTTCCAGAGGATCATTAAAAGGATGGATGAGATGTTTCTTAAAGCATCGGCCTTTGTAAAGTCCCGAAAGATGCTCTTCCCTCTTGTTAACCCCACAGCCCTTCACTCATATCTGCCTTCAGCTCTCACAGACTGTCCTGTCCTAGAGTCACCACGTACCTCTGTGTTTTCCTCACCAGGCTGCTACCCCTAGAACCACAGCAAGGGATTTTCAGTTCCTCCTCCTTCACAGCATCCATCATGGTACCTGGGATATATCCATCAGGTGCTAATAAAAGCTACCAAAAAGGCACTGAGGCTAGATGTTTCTGCTGGCTTTTTGTTATTCTGGTACTCACCTGTCATGATCAATCTGTCAATATTTTGGTTGAAGGGGCTTCTGATGTAACAACCTCTCCCGAAGCCAGGGGCTATATGATCTTTCCATTTTAATCTTAACAAATACCTGGAAGGTAGGTGTTATCATGCCCCCACCTCCACTTACAGGCAAGGAAATAAATTCAAAGAGATTTTGTAGCTTCGTGCAGCCAGTGGGAGAGGTCAGATCAGCCTGGTTGGTCTGTCCCAAACCCAGTGGTCTGTACAGTGGAATGTCACCATGGAACAAAATTTAACGTTTGTGATAAGTTACTTTTTGCCCTGCACTGGGCTCAGGGGCACACACGCATTATCTCATCTAACTCACCAGATTCTAAGGTTCGGACAGGCCAGGGATCTCTGTGTCTTATTCTATATTGTATCCCTGGCAATAAACACAGTGCCAGACACAGAGCAGCTGCCAATCAATGTGGGAAAGTAAATATAGGAGTGGAATGAATGAAACACAGCATGTGCCTCCGCAGCCGCACAGTAAGCAGGATCCGATATGTTAAATGAAGTCTGTTGGACTCTCTCTTCTCTGATTTAAGGCAAGACAAATATTTATGTTAAAAGGGGGAAAGAAAAGAAAGGAAGAAAGAATAAAGGAATGATAGGAAAGTAAATGAATAAATAACACATAAAAAGGTGGCCCCCATCAGTGTCCCATTAGCTCTGCTTATGACTACAAATTCTCCAGCAGGCAAAAGGAATAATGGGTCATGAACACTTCCCGGCCCTGGCCCCTCAGCCCTCTCTTTGTTTGTATATTGCTACTTTCAAAATCATTAAGCCTGTGACTGTTCACGGGGGTAATTCTGAGCATATGACAATTGCCTCTGAGTCAAAGGCTGTATCCCAACAGCTTAAATATAACAATGGTAGGTTCTTTTCAAAGGGTACATTTTCCCTCGCAGCTGCCAGCTCTGCTTTCTATACAAACTAAAAATAATGATCTTTCCATTATGGGAGCACTAGTATTGTTGCTTTCCCTCTTAGCTTATATTAGTGCTTAAATTATACACCCCTAGTCTCCAGGGGTTTAAAGTTGGCTGGGAAAACTTTTCCTGAGGCCAAATCATGGCTTTAGGAGCAAGAGGATTCTACTGCAGCTTCCTGCAGAGCCCGGGGCAGAATTACAGTATCAAAATTGGCTCCAGATATCATTGTTTGTCAGCTCTAAAAGGTCACTGATAGAGTGTTTGTAGTCAACCCCAGGAACTGTACAATGGCAGACCTTCTTCTCTTTCTCTGTCGTACCCAAAACAAGGCACAAAGTGACACCTCTTCATTTACCAGGTTCAAAGGAAATTTTTATTCAAATGTTCAAATATAGTACTTGTATTTAAAGTTGATAGGCACCCGGGTACATGAAAGCAATCTGTCCGGTGGGGCTGCAAACCACAGTGCTCAGTGATTAAACCCAGGAACCTGTCCTAGTGTGGTATGACTTCCGGTGGGGCTGAGAACCACAGCTCTCGGTGACTAAACCCAGCTGTGAGGCCGTGGGCTGTGGACTGAGTGCAAGACGAAGTGGAAAGGGAATGTAGGGTGGTAGAATGTAGGGTGTGGAGAGGAAAGGCATTTTCATAACCTACAAATTTGTCTCCAAATGATCTTTCCAAACTCTCAGGTCCTATAAACTTATCAAGAGTAATAGTGGCTTTACACCTGGCAAAATGACGGGAAAATAACCAATCATTTTTTTCTTCTTCCTTTTTCTCCCACTTAAATAATTGCATCTGCTGCTGCTCAGCTACTGGTAACTACAGTGTTTGGTTCTATTCCACATGTAAAAAGGAGCTACCCAATGCTTTCGTAGTGGTGGGGTTTTTCATTCTGCTCAAATGATCTTGACTTTGATGGTCAATCAAGGTTCACTTAGCCTAACACCTTATCTGTAATAATCTCTGGAGGAATCCTTTAATTCAAGATTTGATAGAGAAGACAGGGACATCTAAGAATGATTGAAGCGTACCCTGAAATGTAAACCAGATATGATTTAATACGTGGAAAGCAGATATAATTATTTACAACACTTTAGGAGGCATCCTAAATGTTCCTATAACTCATTTCCAACCCTTCTTCACTATAGAATTGCTTAAACCAAGTTTGAAGATTGATCTCCTTGGGTTGTTCATCATCTCAGAATTCCCTTCATGTATTTTCAGGGAGATCCCTCTCCATGTTAGTTGATGCTGCAATTGTTAACTTCTTCCAGCAATCCTTATTTTTAAGCCCTGTCTCCTTTACAATACCTGCTTTCAAAGACATGGCTAAGGAGTCTTGTGTCCATCCAACATGCCGTGCAGATGGCGCCCACCATCTAGGCATCTTGGGAAAACCAGCGTCTCTTTTTTGAGTCCTCAGCATTTGTTTTTCATATATGAAAACTTTGGATTCTCTGTTCTCTGGGCCCTTCCATTGCCATCTCCAAAACCCTGAAGTATATAAGAATTTTAAAATTGGGTTAAGGGGAAAATGGATCTCCCATTGTATGTATGTATGTACAGATAACATTTCTTTTGACAGTGAAATGACCTTCCAACTGCAACCTTTCAAGATAGTCTTTTTCAGTATTCCACACAACATATTATTCTACAGAGTTTTCTTTAAAAAAAATCAAACTTAAGAAACAAATATCAATGTGAAGATTCAGAAAGGGTTAATTAGGCTTATTCTTTTTTTGCTTTTAATAAGCACATATACTTATATTAAGGGTACATTTCAGACAAAGAGTTCAGTTGGGTTTTCTGTTGGGACTATTCTTAGTTAATGCAAGGGCATAACTATGGTAAAATGTCTCAATGTTCTGCAAAGACTACCATGAGTTCCAGCTCTGGAACAGGTTTAGAAATCATACATTTAGATATTTATGTTCTGTTTTACAAAATGGAAAGGTACAACATTTGAATTCTGTCCCAGGTGCTCTGTTTTCTTTCACAAACCCAATGTTCTCTCCTATAATTAGTCTCCTGCAGTTGGGAGGGCAAGTTAGAAGACCCCTGGGGGACCTCCCCATCTTCACAGCCATAGTGCTATAACATGAGCTGCTACTTCTGTTGCTTCCACTGCTCTTATAATTATTATTATTGTTATTATTATTATTACCACTGCTGGTGCCATTACTGGTATTACTGCTTCTGCAAATAGTAAATAGAACTATTTACTTCTGCTATTGCTACTACTTCTGCCATTACAAACACCATTATAGCACCTCTTTTTTTTTTTTTTGCACAAAGTTTTCACTTACAAAGAGATTTTCTGGTTCAAAACTGCAGGTGGGATTTAGCACAAGTCTGAGGGGAGGATGTGTACTCCCTCATAGATAAAAGAGATCCCGCATTTTCTTATCAGCAACCTTCTGATTTCTCAGGGAACCCCCACCTCAATACACTTCTCTTTGACTGAAGCAACCCTTACCTTCCTACGGCTTGACTAATCTTCATTAAAAATAAAGTTAATTTGACTCCATTGGATGTCTGTGTGTCCAACAGTGAAGGAATTGGCCCAGAATTCTTGGCTGTTCTTACTCCAACTATGCATCATGTTACTTTTCAGTTTTACTGTTGCTTTACCTATTCCAATATTTTAACCTGGAAATTGTGATATTTGAATATGTCCTGTAAGGGACGGACATGATTGATGTTTCTTGCCCTCCTTAGTATTAATGGCAGCTTTCCCGTGGGCCTCCCATTGATTAGAGACAGATGATAAGTCTAGCAACCAAGTTTCTGTGTTGCTCTGTTTCCCCATGGTAGCCTACATCCAATGTCATTAAGAAGTAAAGTGGCTCTCATTCATGTTGACATTCAGATTTGTTGTTAGTAAGAGTGTCTTGTTTGTTATTTGGCATCATAGGATAATTTTTTAAATCCCAGGTATAATACCTCCAGAAATTATTTTAAAACATAAATAGTAATAATTAGACATACATTTTGGTTCAGCATGGGGATATGTTTGACTCATAGAACCTCTGATATGGTTATTAACTTCGTAGATGCCCACAGATTACATGGAAGAAGTCCAGGTGGCACCTTGCATGTGGCTTAAAGGAATGCACTTTATTCTAAACTCTGAAAGTTTTTGTCACACTGCAGATTTTGCATAATCTTTCTCTGATTTTGATTCTCTTCTATCACCTAGCAATTTCAATTTGGTGAAAAGAATTTGGCCTGTTTCTCAGAAGAGTAGGAGAGTTATAACTCAGCCTTCCTTCATAAATTGCAAATCTTAGTCTTCAGTGATGTCATCTTCTATGGTGGACTATCAGTTTACAAAATTCTGTGACATCTAGTACACGCATTGAACTGTGAGATCTGAAACACTTTCAGAAGGACTTAGGCATTCCTGATACCTTGACCACAAGAACTGTGCTTGAATCCTTCTGCTCTGTGGGTTTCCAACCATTTCAGTTGTGTGATTGCTACATATACACCTGGGGAAAGGGAAAAGTAAACTATTCTAAGATTGAATAACAGTGATCACTTTCAGACCTTTCACCAACCAGGAGAAGAAATGAAGCAACTATACCAGATCCAAATGTTAGAAGTGACAAAGAAATACTTGTCTGAGAAAGGTATTCTGTGATCTTGCCTCCAGAGGTGAAAGCCCAATTTACTTGGGGCCAGTTTCACTCAATACTCCACTTGATACATCTGCCTCTACAAAAATCATGTATGTCACAGGTCATTGTCAGAAGCAAATGAGAATCACTAACTGCAGAGGATGGGACTTGGAACATTGTGGAAAAGTAGCTGATTCCTTCCACAATTACTACTGAGGTCTGGCTGAAGACTGTTATCAACTCAGATGGAAACATCACTCCTTTCTTTTTCTCCCAAGGAAAGACAACATTGTCTTGAATGATCCTCGATCCATCTAGTTTTTAAATTTATGCACAGGTAAGTTATGGCAAGAACACTTCCATGGAGACATAAGAAAGGGGAGCGTAGAAAGTGAGAGACAGTTCAATGAAGCCAACCTGCAGTTGTGAGCAAGTTCTGATTCTGGCAGGCTGTGGGGAGCTTGACCCGGGTTTTCAGATGGGAAACCTGAGAACTTGATGTGAACACCTGGAGGTGACTCTGTTGGATACGTCACAGGGAGAAATCTCAGACACGGTGCTTTTCAGAGCTTTTCCTTCCCATGTTGGTTGAATGCTGTCATCCAGAAAGCTTCACACAGTTGACTGGTCAACTTCAGGAGTTCCCTGTGAAGATGGGGAAAGCAAGACTCCATGAGGATCATGCTTAGGTGGCCCTGAGATGGCACAGCATGCTAATAGCAGATTTGATTTTGAAGAGAGGAAATTGAGAGTCTAGGTTCAATGTTTCTTGTCTAGGGTGTCTCTTCTTGATTTCCTACAGATGTTTTTTCTTGATAGACTGTAAAATTTTCTCTGCCTAGCAGACTCGACATCCCTGGTGCGCTTACGTATTTGCCTTGTCTCGATTAATGATGACAAGAATCCTTCCCTCACACATTATCCTTTTTCATTTTTGAAATGTCTTGATAGGAATATTGAGATTCCGGAGTCCTTAAAGTCTTCAGATTCAGATTTGGAGTTAACAGCATACAAACTTGTATAAATAGTAGATATGCAAACAATACTTAGGTAATCAGAGAACTGGGTATAGGTAGAGTGTGTGTCTATGCAGCATGTGTGTGTGTGTGTGTGTGTGTGTGTGTGTGTGTAATTTATCTGATCAGAGTCAAGTCCAAGTATGAACATCCAAGTGACTACATCAAAAATACAATTATTGGATCCCCTCCTAAAATTTATCATCTCCTTAACAAATATTACATGATCTCACGCATATGCAGAGTTTTAAAAATAAATCAAACTCAGAAGCACAGAGTGGAATGATGATAACTTGGAAATGGAGAGATGCTGGTGACAGTGTACAGAGTTTCAGATGGGCAAGAGTATGTTCTACAGATCTATCATACTATAAATGATAATGATATGTAGGGTACTTAAAAAATTGCTGAAAGAGAAGACTTTAGATGTTCTCATCACAAAATAAGCATGTAAACTGATAGGTATATTAATTAGCCTGATTGACGCATTCCAGATAATGAGTCTTTCTGGTGTCCTCTCTTTCACACCCCATTCACACTACCAGCAAGCCCTATGAGCTCTGCCTCCCAAAGTGTATCCCATTTCTGTTCAGGCCTCTGCCACGCATTCTAAGCTGCATGATCTCACGGGCTGCTGTAGCGTGCTTTGCCTATTGCTGCAACAGTTCCTCCTTGCCTCACTGCAGTAACTCTGCATTGCAACCCGCTTCTCCCAGAGGCCTTCCTTCACCCTACAACACAGCACCTCCTCATGCTCTAGTTCCCTCCTCTTGCTTTATTTGTTTTCTCAGCTCTCACCATCCCTTGGCTCTGTGCTGTAGTTTTTATTATCCATTCTCTCCACCGGAATCAAGGTCCTTCAAAGAAACCTTTATCTTTTCTGTTCAATATCCTAACACTGAAGTAGATAGTGGGTATATGATACAATTACATAGTGGGAACTCTATAGTATTTAACAAAAACATGAGTGGATGGAGCCAGTGGTATAGGCCTGTAATTCCAGCCGCTTGAGAGTCTCAGAGGGGAGAGTTGCAAGTTCGAGGCCAGAAAACTTATATTTTATTCAAAAATAAGAAGTGGAGGTAAAACTCAGGATAGAGCACTGGTCTGGTATATGCACAATACTGGGTTCAATCACCACATACACACACACACACACACAGAGAGAGAGAGAGAGAGAGAGAGAGAGAGAGAGAGAGAGAGAATGGATGGATATGAGCACTTTTGTATGGCAGAAATGCAGAGAATTTAAATATTTTGCCATTTTGCCCAAACATATCTTATGATATATTCGATATGTCAATATGTGCATTTTAGCAATTAAAATTATATAATTAATTAAAGTTAAAGTAATTATATAATTACAATAGTAGTATTGTAGTAATATGTAATTACATATTAGTAATTATGTAATTACAATAGTAGCCTTTTGCTGAATGAAATGAGAGCTTTGCTTTTTAGATGATGGCCACATAGATTCTGGTAGATAGATTTCATGAAGCCCTTGGATCTTCTCTTCAGAGTCATGCATTTTTGGAAAAAAAAGTGCAAGTTCATTGTTAAAATCTGAATCTTTTCACATTTTAAGATTTTCTTAAAGATTTATTAGCTTGCCCAGATCCTAATGCCCCAGGTAGTTTACAGACTACACAAACAGAAACATTGATTTAGAAGTGCATTTCATTTGAAAAATGATTTTAGGAGCATGCCATAGCTCTAACACAGGGATTCTGCAGAAGGTGCTGGGTTTTATTTGTTAAAATGCAGGTCTCTGAGTTCCATCTCAGACCTACCAAGTTAATGAACTCTCTGTCACGATAACACGTACCAGAGATAAAAATCAACATTTCAGGGGTTCCAGTCCATGATTGTTTGGCTTGCTTTAGAGCCTATAGCAAGGCAGCATGATGGGGGGCAGGTGGGCATGTGATGGAGCAGAGAAGGTCACTTCCTGTCTGGGAATAAAAGAAAAAGAATAGGAAATGTTGGGGACCCAATCTCCCCTCAAAGGTGCAGCCCCAATGTCCTGAAGACCCCGCTCTAGGCCTCACCTCCTACATGGTCTACCACCATGGAATAAGCCTTTAACACATGGGTCTCTGGAGTCATTCCAGAGCTGAACAAGAGCAACCACTGAGCAGGAATTCTCATGGCCCTGCTTATTGCTGCTTTCCAAACCATGAGCATCAGCCTAGGTCATGGGTGTTGTTCAAGGTCTCCTTGAATTTCCACAGTTGGAGTTTGGGAGGGAAGACAGGAAACAACCATTTGTCTCTCTGTGTGTGAGGATCACAGGTGATATAATTAGATAAGGAATACATTCATTAGAGGCTTCTGATTCAGTTCATTAATTGCAAGATAATAATCACTACCCTGTGTGTGAGTGTATAAAGCTGGGACTTAGATTTCCTTTGCTTTGTTCCTCTAGCATGTGGCAGAGTGCCTGGCACAGCAGGCAATCAATCAGGCTGTGTCCAGTAGAAACCAAACCAACATCTGATCTCATCACCTCTTTTAAATGCAACTGTGAATGCTATCCATGGCGGAAAACTAAGAGTCAATAAGAAAATTCTTGTGAACCACCAAAAAAACAGTAAATTACCTGGACTTTTATGATGATGATGATGTAGATGTTAATGAATGACAAAAATATAATCCAATATTCATTGGATTCCAATAGCCAATATCAAATTCACTATTAATTTATTTATTCCTTTATTCCATAACTATATGTTAAATATCTACTATGTGCATGAGATGTTCTGGGCAGTTGGGATAAATTGTTGGACAAAGCAAACATGCATTCATGGATCTCATGTTCTAGGCTAAGAAGGAAAAAGCAAAGTATAAAAATAATGAGTCCATAATATAATATGATAGAAGAGGTTAAGTGCAAAGGTAAATAGATAAAGTTGAGCAAAATGAAAGGAAACAAATCCAAACAAGGTCAGTTGCAGAATTAAATAGAAGAAATCTTATTTTCTATTCACAAAGTGAAGTACACATTACTATTATTCCTATTTTTCAGAGTAATGGATTACGTTTTATAGGTATACCCAAATCATGCTTCAGTAAAAGGTGGGAGTTGAATTCAGACTCAGGTAACCTGGAACACTCCAGAGCCTTCTATGTCTGGAATTTCCTGCTTATATATTGTCCTACTGGTAAATGATGTAAAAACCATTTGCATTTAGGGAAATAGAATAATGAAAGCATTAGGTCAGTGTTGGCGGCCTTTCAGGAGACCCAGGGCAGGACTAAGCAATTCCAACTTTCATAATCCCAGGCTTAATTACCCAGGGGGCAGCAGGAACCTTCAGTCACCCACAGCGTCTGCTGTTCAAACAAGACTCATGATTCTAATAAAGAATCAATAATGGGAGGATCATTGCCTAGTTTCTCACTTGCTGAAATGGGGAGGGGCTCACTGGAGATATTACCCTGGAGTAAAAGAGAAAGTGAGCATGAACAAGGTTACATGTTTATTTTTGGTTTCAATTAATATTTTTTGCTGAACCATCAAGGTTGGGGAGATTTTTAAAAACTTGCAGTATAATTACTTTCTAATTGCTAGAAATGAGTAGACATCTGAGTGCAATATTGCTGTATTTTTTTAATTGTAAAATTATTGAACACCCTTTTACACACTCTTAACACCTTTTGTTATTACCGGGGAGAAATAAAATGTTGTCAGGACTATGGATAGTTCATGGGAAAGGAGACTTCAGAGATTGCCCTGCCCAAATCCCTCATTTTAGAGATGATGAAATTTAGAGGCTCTGAGAAGGAAAATGCCATTCCTGGGATCCCTCAGACAGTGTCAAAGAAGGGACATTATATTTAGCAAACCACAGATTATTAGCAGTGGGAATCATCTACTCTTTGGCTCTCCTTCTCTAGATAAGGAAAATGAATCCCCATGCAAGTTAATTGGCCATCCCATTCTCCAACACGTTTTCTATACAAATCACTGGTTTGCAAATATACACATCTAATGCAAATATACACACCATTCACTACATTGGCACTACTCTATCATTACCATGATTTGGATAGGTGTTCCCCAAGGGCCCAGTGTTAAAGGCTTGGTCTGCAAACCATGGCACTTCTGAGGGGTCGCAGAATATTGAAGATGTGGGGCTAGTGGGAGAAAGTTAGGCCACTGGGTTGTGCTCTTGAAGGGGAGAGCGGAACCCCACCCCTTCCTCTCTTTCGTTTTTCAGCCAACATTAGGTAAGCAGCTTGCCTCACCATGTACTCCCTGCCATGATATGGTGCTGCCTTGTTACAGGCACAAAGCAATGATGGCAATAGTTCATGGGCTGGAACTTCTGAAAACAAAAGTGAAAATAAATCTTCTATCTTTATAAGTTGATTTATCTCAGGTATTTGTTACAGTAACAAAAAGCTGACCAACACAACCTTCTTGAGAATGAAGTTGAATTTGGTTACTAGCACAGATGTTCTCCATTATTCATCCTTTACATACTTTTGCGGATAGGATATGTCTCTTGATATTCTACTGTTAGACTTTATCACCATATACTTTATGCAGGCTCCATGTCTGCTCCTACTTTGGTCTTGATCTTCTTTCTTGTAGGTTTCCTATCAGGTCACATGTTATCCAGG